TGGGCTCCAAGATCACTGCAGATGGGGACTACAGCCAAGAAATTAAAAGATGCTTACTCCTGGGGGGCGGGGGGGGAAGCTATGGCAAATCTAAACAGCATACTAAAAAGCAGAGACATCACCCTGCCAACAAAAGTGTGTATAGTCAAGGCTATGGTTTCCCCGGTTGCAATGTATGGCTGTGAAACTTGGACCATAAGGAAGGCTGAGCGCCAAAGAATTGAGGTCTTTCAACTATGGTGCTGGAAATGATTCCTGCAAGTCCCTTGGACTGCAAGGCGATCAAACCGGACAGTCCTAGAGATCAACCCTGACTGCTCTTTAGAAGGCCAGATCCTGAAGATGAAACTCAAATACTTTGGCCACCTAATGAGAAGGAAGGACTCACTGGAGAAGAGCCTAATGCTGGGAACGATTGAGGGCAAAAGAAGAATGGGACGACAGAGAATGAGGTGGCTGGATGGAGTCATTGAAGCAATCCGCGTGAGTTTAAATGGACTCCGGTGGGATGGTAGAGGACAGGAAGGCCTGGAGGAACATTGTCCACGGGGTCGCAATGGGTCAGATATGACTTCATGACTAACAACAATAATAACAACTTAGCTGAAAAACTAATTAACAAACATAAAGTTTGGTCTCTCTTTAAGAATCTACTTCTGCATCTTCCAACATGCCAGCTGATGACCCTGTTCACAAAACAAACTTAACCATGTGAGGGAGTCAGAAAACTTTTAACTTTCAACCTAGGCAAGTGATTCCAGTAGCTAACCATTAGGGAGAAACTTTAACTTATAACAGTTCAGGTGGTTGGGGCAAAATTGATTCTCACAGTCAAATGTGCTCTCCAAACAAGTATCCCTCCGAATTTGAAATGAAGTCATAGAAACCGTCCCTTCAAATTTGAGATAAAACCATAAGGGAAAAAACACAAAAAAGAACTTTCTTTAGGAATGCTATCACTTTTTTACTCCCATCTCCAACTTGCAGCCACAAGGGGAAATAAAACAGCAGCATATAGGAATGGAAATACATAAGCCCTCACCCAAGTCCCTAGCTTCTCTATTACATTGATGCTGATTCTAATCACATCACCATAAATTATTACATTTCCTCCAAAGAGGAATAAACAGAAGGGTAGACCGGTGATATTTTGCCAACCACCTTTGTGGCATAAGGAAGAATTTTTTAAAGAGGCTGCATTCTAACGGATTGCATCCTTGGAAATCGTGTACCAGGAAGTGGTTTGAATTGCATATTCAATAAAAAAGTAAATTTCACTGTAATTAAGTACCTGAGTCAATTTTGGTCATATTTATAAGTTCATGTTATCAGGTTATAAAAGGATTTTCAATAAAAAGTAGCTTTAAACTGAGAACTTCTGAAAAGAAATTGATAATCATGATGTAGTATATAATGTAGCTGTGCACTGGAGTGGGATGCGGTAATGAATTTGATGAAATAAATGAATAAAAAAGATTGAGTTCTGAAATATCCAGACAGATCAAACTTGTTATGAATTGTGTAATATACTACATGCAAACTCTTTATTAATAATACACTTATTGTAATGGACACTAAATACAATAATATTAATATTGCTGTTATAAGTTACATAGGGTAACTTATAAGTTACATAAGGTTACTTCCCCATCAAACATTTTTATAACAATATATATAACACAATCATAAAGCTAGAAAGAAACTTATGTTTTAAAGATAGATGCATAAATTTGAATTTTCTTTTGCTTTGGCACTAGCTCCCCCTCCAGACCAACTTAACACTGTAATTACGTTTTTCATTATAAACACAGTAGCCACAAATCCACATTTTCTTTAAAATCTTAGGATGATTTCAATCTCAAAAAATAATATTTCTTTAAAAAAGAAATCATTTATATTACCCTTATCTCTAAAACACTGAAATGTACTCTGACACTCATATATTTGTTCTAATAGTAAACAACTTGCTTTCAAACTGGAGAAATACCTGCTATATTCAATTTATGTACATTAATAAGCTGCCCTGTAATCTTATAGTATTCCTACACTATCAGTTTATGACACCTTTTTTGGATAGCCTAAGTCCAATAAAGTGTTATTGACCAATGTTAATAAAAACCTCATCTCTTTATACAGTTTCCTAAAATAAACACTGTAAGAATTTATTATGTAGTATTTTACAATGAATTTGAAAAAAAACTCTATTTTACTCTAGTTTATAAAACTCAAAGAAATGGATGGCATAAATATTCCAAATAAATACATTAAATCTGCAGTCCTATACTGTACAAACTTACCTGGACATAAATTCCAGACAAATCAATGAAAATTACGTCTGAAAGAGGGAAAGGAGGTTTTCCTTTGGCATTACAGTATTCAAGTATTTATATCTGCAGAATTCAAATACGAAGTTAAAATAGATTTAAGCATGCATATTCAAAGTTAAATCACATCATATACTAAATTAATGAATAACAATTTCTTATAAAGTTTTAAGATCTCTTTTATCAATAACTATAGAAACGATATGTAACTATGTACTTCTAATAAATTTAAAGTATTGTGTTATTTTTATAATCAATATAATTTTGGTAAGACCTGATTAATAGCCTTGAAGGCATATTCTTTCAGGACTAATTGCCATCCTTTTAGCTTATACATAGAAACTGCTGAAGTCTGAGTATATTTTTAAAACATAATATATAAGACATAAAATTATTAATTTCTAAAAGAAATACCAGTAATTATTATTAACATTAATAAGCATCATTAAACTATTTAATTTTTTAAAAAAACATACTCCCAAACAAAATGTTACACATATTAATATAAACAGAATTCTAAACAATTGCAACCTGCTCCTCACAGACATGCTATCAGTTTGTTTTAGTGTAGATAATTCCACTGAGAAGAACCACTCCCAAACTATCAATTGTCACGTTTTGCATGTAAATATTTGCAGACTTAAGGCCCTAGGTGAATTACACATCGTGTACACTTTCATATTTACTTCTGAAGTGCTGTGTTCAGATCAGTAGAAAACGTTTTGAAAACTTTTCTAGTCAGTTGACCCTAAAAAAAATGGCTTTGTAATGTAATATTTTTGATTCTTTGATATTTTCATGCCATGATTCCCTCCACTGCAAAAACAACAACACCCTGGTCTTATGTTTAAAATACATAGCAGCAGGTTTTATTGAAAATCAATTCAGTGTCTTAGAGATTCACTTTGCAGACAGCACAATTTAAACTCAAAGAATGAGACAGTAAAAGATGTCCAAAGGCAAGCAGATGCAATTACACCAAGCACACAAAAACATCTTAAGAGTTTGAAAGACCTCGGCAATTTATCTCCATGGACCTTGACGAACTCAACGTCGTTTCTTAATTGAAATCACGGAAAAAGAAAATCCTGGCCTCCAACGATTTAGACCCCCTTATCCCGTCCTTCTGAACGGTACACATTTCACTTTCGCTAGCCCGCAGGTGCATTTCCCGATTTAGGGTTTCTCTCTCTCTCTCTCTCTCTCTTTCTCTCTTTTTTTAAATTATTCCTGGGACGTGGGGAGAAAAGAAATCAGAAAAAAAAGGGGGCAAGAACAGCAGCCCCGCAGCTTTCCTTTTCAAGGCATTTGATCGGCCTCCCCGGCCTCCCATCCCTCCGCTGCGCGCAACTGCCCTCTCCATACACGCACCCGCAGCTGGCACACCGGCAGCCGATGGTTTCCGCTTCTTCTTCTTCTTTTTTGCGGAGCTCGACGCGACTCTCTACGGATTGATGCTTTGAAGACTTCGGAGGCTCCCGCCCGGTTTTTTGTTTTTTTTTCCCCTCTAGGGCACCGGCTTCCTCCTGGAGCCCGGTGCAGCCTCTTTCCGGGATTCAGCGCCCACACATAGCAACCGCAGCGACTCATCTCATCTACCTACCTACCTTATCTCTGTGGCCTCAAGCGCCCTCCTTGCCTTCTCAAGGGAGGCCAGGCCCTGGCTCGGATGACAACTCTCCTTCCCTTCCTTCCTTCCTTCCTCCCCGAGAATCCTGTCCCGGGAGAGCTCGGCAGCCTTGGCGGAGCCTGCACACCCCTTCTCCTATCCAGCCTTTCGCTGACAAGAGACAATACTCACACACACACATACACACACCAGAGCCGGCGCCTTGAATAACCGCTGCTTCTACGCCAGGCCCCACCACGAAGAACCGGGT